CTCCTCCTGCCTCCCCAATGGCGCCCCATTCAACAGCACCCCGAACCATCGTCTCTCAGATTGGCCAACTTCAGCTTCATTTCCCAATCGCCTGCACTCGATCACCTCAGCCGTCGTCTCATTGGCCACTTCTCTGGCACACACACACGCGGCTCTGCCTGGGAACGGTTATAGAGATCACCAAAAGACCCATCCTAACTACACCGGCCATCATCTCCAGCCTCCTCAGAGCCTGCCGCCTGGCAGCCTGGGCAAGCTGGACGAGCTGAAGGTGTCCGAGGAGGAGACGCAGGCTCAGTTCGTCCCTTTTTCCATCACCATGCCTAGTACCAGCCTCGACTGTCCCTCTCTCGGCCATCCTCTGTCGGCGGCTCGAGGATCGCCGTCATCTGCCGGCCTGTCGCAGGACTCCAGCTTCGGCCTCTTCGGCTACACTCCCAGCCCGTCTGATGGCACCAACGTGTCTGAACAACAGCTACACACGCGCTCACGTGCCTTAGCGACTCTGACAACCAGTCCCGTCAAGTCGAGGCCAAGCAGCTTCTCTTTGACGACCGACAGTCTGCTCAGTCCATTCGTCGGAACGACGAGTTCGAGTCCCGCTCGCCTAGACGCTGTTCGGTCCAGGGAACCCGATCAGCCCACGTCCGACGCCGGAAGTCTTAGAAAAGAGCGCCAATTGACTGCGGCAACAAGAAGTTGTCCCTTGTCTGGCAGGGCCTCCGGGCAGGCAGAGAAACGTCGGCGACGTGATCGTGATCCCGAGCGCCACGAAGCCCATGACGCCAGCAACGGTCGAGAAAACGGCGGCGGAGGCAAGAGTCGGAAGTCCGGTTTCCAAGCCGGCGTCACTATCGGCTACACGTATGATGCCTTTTTTGTATCCGACGGCCGGTCGCGGAGGCGGCATCCCACGGTGGCTGGAGCTCAGACTAACGAATTCACCGAGTTCCCTCGTTTCGGCGGCAGCGAGTCTGACGACGGAGTCGTTCTGACCGCAAGTCTGCCCTTCGCCAACAAATGTACTACCCTTTCGGCCACCTCCGTCTCATCCTCATCCTCCTCCTCATCCTCCTCGTCCTCGTCGTCGTCGTCTTCCTCGTCTTCCTCGTCCTCTTCCACGACCGGCTCTGACATCTCCTCAACAAGCCTACCCACCACTCCACGACCCTGTCCCTCTACACCCGGACCTGGTATCCTGGGCAACAGTCCCATTTCGTTGGCCAACTCGCCACACAATCAGGCCGTATTCCCCAAATTCCACTCGCACCAACTGCCTCTTTCACCGCCTTCAGCACCACCACCGCTGCCACAGCAACAGCAACACCACCACCACCACCATGATCACCATCAGCAGCAACAATGTCAACCACAAGCACAGCCAGCACCACAGCCAACACCACAGCAAACACAAACACAAGCACAACAACAACGCTACGTTTGCAGCGAGTGCGGCAAGCACTACGCCACCTCGTCAAACTTGAGTCGGCACAAGCAGACGCATCGGAGTCTGGACAGTCAGCTGGCCAAGAGATGTCCGCACTGTGGAAAGGCCTACGTGTCGATGCCGGCGCTGTCAATGCACATTTTGACGCACGATCTTCGGCATCGTTGTGACATTTGTGGTAAGGCCTTCAGTCGGCCCTGGCTGCTTCAGGGACACCGAAGAGCGCACACCGGCGAAAAGCCCTACGGTTGTGCTCATTGTGGCCGAGCGTTTGCAGATCGCTCCAACCTGAGGGCTCACATGCAGACGCATTCGGGCCAAAAACAGTTTGAGTGTACGCGTTGTCATAAAAATTTTGCCCTCAAGTCCTATCTTAACAAACATCTTGAATCGGCTTGCTCTTTTGCCCCATCGACAGAGGGGCACATTCGACCTGGTGTTTGTCTCGAGGCAACAGCGGCAGTTGCTGCGACGGCCAAGAACCATGACAACGAGGTGGACGGATTGGAAGAGGGTGAAGTGTTGCTGGGAGAGTCGATCGAGAGAAAGGACGTTTTTGAGGCTGCTGGGGCTCTAACCTTCAAGGGATGTGACGACCTCGAAGAGGAAGAGAATGGAGAAGAGGATGAGCAGGAAGATGAGCGGGAGGAAGAGGGAGAGGAAGAGGAGG